TACATCCTAAAACTTCCACAGCTATTCGTCTCATGATTAGCAAGACTAAAAAAGACTTATTTTTTCGGGGCATAGAAAAGGTGGTTTAAGGTTTCGTTTTTCAGCTGTTATGACCCCTATAGTCAAAAGCTTTGTCTCTGCGGTTCGCTAATTATTAAAGCAATATTAGTTTTTTGACAATTACCGACATTTCTGACGGCAGACTTCAAAGAATATAAAAGACGTAGAAGCAAAACAACTTCATTGAAAGTGGCTTGTTGCCGTTTGATTGATTAAGTAGAAACTCAACACATAATAATTGTCTCTAACAAGTAGTTATCGTTCTATACTAATTGCACCGGATGTCTTAACTCAGTAAACACCTGTGTTTATGGTTTTAGCTTTAATTTAGCACAGGACCTCTTGTCCGTTTTATTTCTCTCCACAACAAGTCATCTTTCTATCGAAAATAGTCATGAGAATAGGAGAATTAACCAAAATGTTGACAGAGAATGATTAATAAACAAAAGATTTTGAAAGTTATTATTCTNATCTTTCTATCGAAAATAGTCATGAGAATAGGAGAATTAACCAAAATGTTGACAGAGAATGATTAATAAACAAAAGATTTTGAAAGTTATTATTCTGGCTATTTATATCTTATTCAGTAGTGTTTTGTCTCTTTTTCCTGCAAAATTAAACATTAAATTGCGTTTTGTCAACAGATGAGCTTCGTTTGCTCGGAGCATCACAAAACAGAGATCAACCACGCGTTGACATGTTTCAAAATTAACAAAATAAACACTCTCTGGCTGCTTTTATAGTTTAGTTTTAGGGAGAAAGGTATACTAAGGTAGAGACTGTAGAGAAACATCAAAAAGGTAATATTAAAAGTAAACAAATCAAAGGAGACCTATCGTCAAACTCGTGGATTAAGAATCTAGAGATGAAAAATGTTGGTGAACTTGCAATTACTGGTGTACGTATTTTTTAAGGCTGTCAAAACAAGCCGGGGTCGTACCACACAAGGTCGCACTTATCTCACAAAGTGAAGGCTTTTTTCGTTGGCTTTTGTTGCACACATATTACAGAATAGCTAGGGTGACAAAATTGCAG